TACTTTCCGCTATTTGGCTTTTCCGTACAATTGGGACGAAGGCCCAGGGGCCCACCATGGCACGGGGCTAGTTGACGGGTGCAGGCTCGGCCACAGGCATGGTGTGCAGCACCTCATCCAGCAGCTGCAGTGCACGGTGCAGGTGCAGCTCGATCCAGCACGGTGTGTGCGTGATGCTCTGGCGTGGGTAGTCGGGGCCCCAGCCCTTCACGAAGCTCAGGCGCAGGATGCAGAGGCGCCGCAAGTCATCTACTCCGATACCGGCTGCTGCCGAGAGCCCTAGGGACAGTATGGCTGCTGGGGAGATGGCTCCCCTGGACCCCACCCCGTGGCCAAAACTGTATCTGGGCTCCCTGTGCCATCCCCAGGGGCTCTCCAGCATCTCCAATGCTCCCACAAACTGAGGAACAGCCCCCTGCAAACTGGGCTGCCGTGCCCTTCCTGCTGCCCTGGCACCTACCGACTGCTGGTGCGATGCCGCCCACGGAGCCGGGCCCTGGGATACTGCCAGCCACAGCGGCCGCCTGAGCAGCAGCTGCTGCCTGTGCTGTGGCCGCTTGCTGCTGCATCTGCCGGTGGCACTGCCGCAGGTCGAACACCTGGGGGCGAGACTCAGCGCTGGGGAGGGGGGGCCACAACGAGCTCAGCCCCAAACCTGGCACTCCTGGGCCTCCCGCCCCCCTACCTTGATGTAGGCGCCGGGGTAGATCTTGTGCACAGCATCACCAGGCGCGCGCCCAGCCTCACGGTCCAGGTAGTAGCTCTGCACGAAGACGGCGTGGTCGCTCAGACAGCGCATCCACACGTCGCCCTCGCCCCGGCACTCCAGCTGCACCCCCTTGCCGATGTGCAGCCTGTGGGGCACAGATGGCTCAGCCTGTGCCCACCAGGACCCCCGAAATCCCCTGCTCTGCCCTTCGCTTGGCCCCACGCCGGCCCTGACCTGGCACGCTCGCTGGCATCAGTGCGGTGCACATTGGAGAGCTGCCCCAGGCAGAAGCGGTCGCCACCTGAGGGGTCCACATAGCCATCCACGGTGACCACGGGGCAGCTGGATGGCACCTTGAAGATCTCCCCGACCTGCACATCCATCTCAAAGTAGGCGATGGAGCACCAGAACTCAGGGCCTGGCGGGGCAGAGGTCAGAGGCAGAGGTCACAGGGTGCAGAGGTCACAGGGGAGGCAGACCGCAAGCGGGTGGCACTTACCTGGGTGGCTGGAGACAGGCTGTGGGTATGGCGTTGTGCCGTGGTGCGGGGGCCCTGAGGGCAGAGAAAGGACTGGGTCAGGGCTTGGGTCCACCCCAGAAGCAGCTGCATTTGGGGAG